AACTGAAGATGACACTAACGTCAACTGAAGATGACACACTAACATTAACTGAAGATGACACACTAACATCAACTGAAGATGACACACTAATGTCAACTGAAGATGACACTAACATCAGCTGAAGATGACACACTAACATCAACTGAAGATGACACACTAATGTCAACTGAAGATGACACACTAATGTCAACTGAAGATGACACACTAATGTCAACTGAAGATGACACACTAATATGATTGAAGCATTAATTTTAAATTGAAAGTTTTACTTTTTCTTTTTACATTATTATTCTATCTGTTATAAAATTTAAAACAATTTCTGTTCCTTTTTCTGTCTTTTGCTCCTCTTCTGGAAGCTAATGAAAAAATACTATGGAATGTAAATACAAATCAAATTGTTGAGCTAAATCATCGGAGAGTAAGCACATTTGGTAACTTCCTTCTATAGATCCCTTGATCTTCMCACCTCCTCTGACAGAAACACTTGCTATTGGTCCCTCAATGAATGATGTTCGTCTCATTTCTCTCATAAACCTTTTATTTGGATCTAATCGAAAATGGTAAGTTATCCGTTCCCATTCGGTTTCATCGTCGCGAAGATTGATTGATGCTCCTCGAAAATCATCAAGAACCTGGTTGGGGATTTTGAAAATAAGAACTGCTCGATGCTTATCTCTTATCCGGAAAGCCCAGAGTCGTGCCTCTTGAAAGTTATTATTTAGATAGAAGCCCTTTCCATGACTAAAGTCCCTGTTAGGGTTTCCTTTTCGCAAGTCAATCCCATCTTCAAGAATACTTACAGTAGACTTATGATCTGTCCCGTGGTAAAACAACTCATGACCTTCTTCCTCGATTCCTTGCGGAAAATGTTTCCCACCTAATAGAGGATACGGCTCGTCCTGCTTCTGTTTTTTCTCCATCCTATTGAGTACATTTACCTTTCCATAACCTTCGTCTTCTTGTTCTCTTGCCTGTAAAAACCAAGAGTTAACTCTCGATTCTTCGTATGGAAATTTACCAAAAACATTCTCTGGAAAAAGGCTGTAGCGTATTAGATCTTGCAAGTATAGAACAGCCCAATCTTTAATGTCAAGATGGTTATCCTCGAGCGAACATTTGCTTGTAACGTAATTCCAAGCCTTACTGCTGAATGAATCTAGTCCAAGATTATGAAGAATGTCTTCGATGCTTTCAAGTACCGTCTGGTTGGATTTTATCCCTTGGAATCTTGCTCTCAGCCGAGAAGTAAAAACGCCTTCTTCCATGGCCATATTGTAATTTCGTAAAATTACAAGATAAAATATAAGCGTTTCTGCATTGATTCCCAGCAAGGATGACAACTCGAGGATTGCTGTTTCATTGTAATCAGAAAATTCGTCTTTTTGCAAAGAAAAATCAGTAATAATCTTCGTATTCTCTACTCTTTTTGGTGACATCTCGTCGACTAGTTAAATCAGCCGTTCGTTTTATCAAAACGAAACTAGCGACGTTGTACCAGCAGACACTGCTTTGATCAGCGGAAAACGAACTACATAAGTTGTAATTGCAGGATTTGTTAAGTTGTCAGTTATACTTCTTCCATCGAGACAACTCTAGCTAAGGGCACTCCTAGTGCAATTCATATCTGGTCTCCCCCGCTGAACGTTGCTGCTAAATGAATGTATTGTATATTATGACTATGGGCACTCCTAGTAGTGCAAGTCTGATCTGGTCTCCCCCGCTGAACGTTGCTGCTAAATGAATGTATTGTATTGTGACCTCGAAAAAATTTACATACATTACTTCCCTGTCAAAACWYTCCAGTTCCTAGATTATGATAGGTTGGGATAGCTGCCCTCAGACGTAAGTCTTGTGACCCATGATTGAACAACAATAGCACTGAAGATTTCTTGGAAACATTGTTCGGATTTTAATGTATTCARTTCTTGAAAACTTGCCAACTGGCACTTGTGGTGTATATTTATCTATTACTTATCTATCTATTTATATATTTTCTTTACATTGCGCATGTCCTATTTTTATTTTGTCTTGGCGTACATCCTTTACAGAGGAGCAGTTGCAATATTGCAGACAGTAGCTATTAAAGCGGAAAACAGCATTTTTTAATGATAGACACTTTTACAAACTCTAAAGCTAAGCCAGCCACCTAAACCATATCTATATGAAAGGTTAAAAAGTAATATTATGGCTTTCATTTTGACTGAATTAAGACTAACCCTAGCCATGTTTTCTCAGTGCATGTCATGACACATGATTGTCAGTGTTCATATTAAAATCTATCTACATTCTTTTCAATAATGGGTCATAATCTTCTATAGATGGAACTATTCAAAAATAACTTCTTTCTCTACATTAGYGTATGTGTAATTCTGCTTTCAATAGCGTATAGATTATCTTTTTTATTTCTCCTTCCTGATAGGAGACGGGATAGCGTTCTTTCTGTCATCAGTGGTAGATGATGACTTTTGTCATTCTGTTCAATGTTGATGGTAGAAATCGAGCGTTTAAATTGCCTCTGTTTCCTTTTTTCAAGTTTCTAATACGAAAAAGTCTTGTTCTTTCTCTTCTTCTGCCAAGTGAGTTGAGCGGCAGCTTCGAAAAGATACCTTAAAACTTATTCATAGAAGATAATTGTATTAAGGAATTCTTGAATTTCGTCTGCACAATCTTCGTTCATGATGCAAACTTGGTGTGAGTTTTCCCTTKGTTCGAAACGCCTGTTTGCATCATCAGATGGCTTCGATATCGGTCCTCTGATCATGTCGTAGGTTTTTAGTTTCTTTCGCAGTTTTCTGCTTGGTCTTCCTGATCGACACTCGGTAACAATTTGCAGCCAATCGTCCCTTTTGTCCTCTTCTGATAAATCTAGACTGCTTGAATTTTCGAGAAAGGTTTTGGGGACTTTGAAAACCAGAACGGCAGGTTTTCTCGTTTGGCTGAAGGACCAAGTCTCTGAATGTTTGTAATCGTCGTTCAGGTAAAAGCCAAGTCCATCGCTAAAGTCATGCTTAAACATGCCGCGATTGATATCAATTCCTTGATTCAAGATATCTATTGCGCTGCAATGATCTGTACCATGAAACAAAATTACAGAGTCTACATCCCTGACCTCATCAATGTGTTTAGAGATGTATTGTTCATAAAGTTCCTCAGAATCTTCAACCCTAGCAAAATTCATATGCATTACATTAATACTTTTGCCGTCCAAAACCTTTATTCCACAACATGTGCATGCTTGTTCTGTGTATGGGAATAGATAAAGTTCCTGGGCAAAAACAGGATGGTATTTAAGTTCGTCTTTTACGAAGCGCTTCACTAGCTCAATAGGTTCAACATGACCAAACAACAAAGCAGAGCGGGTCAGAATCGTTTTTATTGCTTCACTGTTGTCCCTAAAACCGAGTTTTATTAAAAGGTCTTTACTTAGATCTTCCTTACGGTCTTCATCATCGATATCTTCGTAGTTATTGCTTAGAAAATTCAAAATCCATTCCTCTAGATTCCAGTGGGAAGCTAGTTCATTATCGAAGGATTTCAATTTATCTAAGAAGTCGATCTTCAATCCAAGCGCGAAAGAGATTMTACTTTCAGTCGATGTGTACCGAATCATATCTTCCATTCGGAGTTTACCTTGAAAAAACACTGATTCTTCAAAGAGTTTTTCCACCTTCAGTTTGCTCTCAATCAGAGAATTATCAAGATGGTCATGATTGAATTGGGTGTTTTCTAAAGGCCATTCACGATCACTGAGTAWCATTTGTAGGACGGTTTGGATGATTTTTTCCGTCTCGAGAATAGCTTCTCGTRGTGGTTCGAGCTCTTCGCTGGCAACATATCGAATCCTTTCGAGGCAAACTTCATAAAAGAACGAGAAACGAAATAGCTTTTTCATTTCAAGTAACTTCATGTCGGAAAAAATTAACATGTGGAGATTTTTCTTCCGTTCTTCCTCGGATGTCTCTTCTTCTTCTGACTCTTGGTCGAGCGCGGTGCGCGCCTCCTCTTGAAGAAACATTTTCATTTTTTCTTGAAATCGCTCGAGAGCCATTTGGTGTGGAGCAAATTTCTCAGCGAGATGACCTAATTCTTCTTCTTGGGACCAAAARACTTCCTGATTTTCTTCTTTTTCTTGGTTTTTACTAGGATCCTTCTCAATGGTAATTTTGGAAAATTTGTGCTTTAACGATCGACATTTGTCTGAGTCATCAGCTTCTTGTCGTGTGCGCGCCTGTTTCGTTTTAAATTCAAATGGTCGCTCCTTCGAGAAAACAAGGGGCAGTTGAAGCTCAGAAATTGAAGAAATTCTTTTCTTTGAAACAGCCATATCATTTTTTGTATTAAAAAGAAAACTTTTTTTCTTTTTAATACAAAAATTGAGAAGCAATCACAAAATGCTCCGTACTGGTACGTGGCGTTGCCCTAGTATAAGAGTGCAATGTCGCAAACATTTCTTGCTCAATCACGTGACGGCTAGGAACGTGATCATTGGTCAACTGAACATAGCAACTGTCTGTTGTGCTCGAATTTCCAAGAAGTCGTGCGTCAATAATTTTTTTAGCGATAAAATTACCCGCTCGAACCGTTCTTCCGCTCTAGGCAAACGACTCAACATAGATTATGAGTCGTGTAACCGAAAATGTATAACTGATACTGCTGGTCATCTTTACGACCACCATTTATGAATTTATATATTTATTCCTTCAAGTTTTTTTCATTTTCTTCAAAATTTATCGAACAATAGTTGTCAAGGGCGATTACGAAAGCAAAAGAGTGTAAGTTTTCCTGTGTCATATTCTATTCCAGAAGCGATGAAAATATTTGCGGAATGCGGACGACCGATTATAACACCAATATTCTACTAACATCTTACAAACACTGATCTTGGGGTCGCATTTTCTTATTACTTGGTTGACTGTGGCAAACCAGTCTAAAATGCGACAAAATCGACAACGTGGATATATTGCGCAATAGTACCCAGGAACCTTCGCGGCATTACCCAAGAGGCCATTGCTGGAATATGATACAAGGATCCAAGGATTCGATGATGCAAGGTTTCCCATCATGCTTTGTGCTAGAGATTCGTGCACATTGGCACATTGGCACATTGAATACACGCATTAAGAGTTCCGCGCTACTGCTTTAAGCGCATGCTCAAGGGGTCAAAGTGGGCCATGTTAACTGCATTTTTCTTTTCAATAATAATAATAATAATAA